GGCTGATGTTGCCCAGCTGCTGCTCTGTGTCTGAGGGCTAAAGAAGCTTTCAGTGCCATGGCAGGAGCACAGAGACTTTGCTTTACATGGGTGTCTGCCTCTCCTGGCAGTGGCTTGCTGCAGGTCTGGACCTGTGAGAGTTTTGATTTCTAATACAAGTGACACATTATGGTTAGATGCCAAGTAAATAGATCTGAGAGATCAAAATCCCATATTTCCTATCCAGTGGTGTGGAAGGACTGCCAAATATTGACGCATGTTCTCTTTTTAGATCTAATGTTGAGATTGAAGAAAAGGAGCAGAAGAGCAAAAGCGCATCAAGGCTGGCCTTTATAATGAGGAATTATATGGATATATGAATCCACTTTCTTATTCCTCTGTTTCTGATCCCTTCTGATTTTTTTCAAACTGTAAAGAGTCAAAAGAGTTAAAGAAGAAAATACACCCAAAAAAGTGAGATATAACATTTAAAATAATTTTTAAAATTTGTTATTATATTACTAGAGTTTCATACAACATTATTTCTTGGGTTCAGGTGGCTTCAAACACAAAAATAGAAAAGTTGCCTTTTTTTTTTTTTTCTGAAGCCTTCCCATGTAAATATAAGAAACTATATGGAAAATTCAGTAATAGGAAAATACAGAGGAAAAGCATGTCAAAAATTGAGTAGCAGGTAAAAGAACTTAGTATTACAACATATTCACACACCCATATATTTTGGTTATTTATTCTTTTGTAAAGCAATTTTCTTTAAAAATATATGCACACAGAGGAAAAATTATTTTTCAAGATCCTTTTTTTGTTTTTTTTTTTTTTAACAATAAAATTGCCACTAGTCAACTCATAAAAAGTCAGAGGGTTTTTGAGCTGACAAGTGGCTAATTCCACTACTGATGAACCTACAAGGCTATCAAATCTCTTAGCTTCTTTTGCCCTCATTTCAGCTTGCAGAAGTGGTCTGTTGCTGATAATTCTAGTATTTGCCTCTCGGTCAAAGTGTATCTCATCTACCTCCTGCTATGCTACATGTCTGTGCTGCCCATAGGGTGTCTGTGCCCCAGTCCTTTGCTGTCATTGTAGTGCTAAGAAAAATTAAAAAATATATTAGGAACAACTGGAAGCAAAGCGAAGGTGAAATTTTTGTTAACCACAATTCTACTTTGTGGGCTATTCATATTAAACTGGATTTTGACAGACAAAAATCAGAATAATGCTATTATGTCCAAAAAGCTGTTCCAGGTTACCTTACATAATACATAAACTTACTGGCTGAAGAAATCCTAAGCACACAGTTTTTGCAGCTATGAGTTTTTTTCCTCATTTTTTCCCCCAAAGAACTGGAAGAAAATTTACAGTCTACCAAGAGGACATCTAACATATTAAATTAGATCACAGACCAAATATATTAGATCAACATCTGTGCTCCCAGAAGAGCCTTGCATACTGTCAATAATACAACCTGACAGCTTTAGGATCAATCATCTTATTAAAACTTTCTTCTCTCTCTTTTTCCTCTCTATCACTCCTTGAAGGAGCTTGGCAAGGTTTATTTTTTGGCTGGTAGCTTGCTTTTTTCTGCTTCAGAATTTCTCTCACTAATACTTCCATAAGAAATAATTTGCCTCAAATAGCTTGCATTAATCTGGGACACAATAATGAATAAATATTTGGAATAAATAATGCATAATGTCTAAGTCTGATAATTATCATAATGATGACTGACATCCTCCTAGCACCTTCCAGTCCCAAATCCCAAGGCACTTAATTGAATGACTACAGATTTGGAGGCTGGGGAGAAGATGGGGAAAGATGCTGAGCTGCAGCAAGCTGTCAAAGCCCTGATGTTGCTTGGGCCTCTTCACCATGCACACAGTCTGCTTTTGTTGGCAGGACCCTCACTGTTAGCTATAAAACAGGATGCTTTTCATTATGAAAATGGCTCCCTAAAAAAATTTTTTTTTGTGGTGGCTTACTGGGCAAAGAGATGTAAAAGGACTCTACTTGGAGGAACTTGCAGGGTAGTAGGAGGATGTGTAGCCATGATATTTTCTGAAAAATCCTTTCCTTAGGATTTTTTTTTCCTGAGAAGCTGAGAGGTCTCAGGAACAAAATGTAAACAATGGGTATCTGCTGCTGTGGAATGCAACAGGTGCATCTGTGATTGGTCTCATGGGGTTGTTTCCAATTAATGGCCAATCACAGTCAGCTGGCTCAGACTCTGTGTCCGAGACACAAGCCTTTGTCATTCATTCCTTCTTTTTCTGTTCTTAGCCAGCCTTCTGATGAAATCCTTTCTTCTATTCTTTTAGCATAGTTTTAATATAATATTTATAATAAAATAATAAATCAAGCCTTCTGAAACATGGAGTCAGATCCTCATCTCTTCCCTCATCCTTGGACTCCTGTGAACACACAGTCAAAAGGGTGCACCAGAATTCAGGCTACCAAAACTTCTGGGTTCCACCTCTCGATGCAAAAGATGTTCACTGCGGGTTGGAGTTTTTTTCCTCTCAGCTGGCTGCCCTCACAAGTGAACACATTCTGTTCAAAGCTGGGAGGTGTCACAGTGACTCTTGGTAATACTGGTTACACCTTTCTCAGCAGCCTATTCAGCACTGTAAAGTTTGTGGATCTTCTACAAGTACCATGGAAACGCTTGAACCTCAGGTCTCAGGGATATGTCAGCCATTTTAAAAGTCTGCTTTGTCCCCAGCTAAAGTCTAATGGAAGGAGAAAATCTTCCAGATAATATGGGTTTGACTCTGAACCCATATGATCTGGAGCAGATCTATAGCAGAGGAGCACAGCAGGGACCTGTTCAGGGACGGGTACAGATTTATCACCAGGGTCACAGCCTTTGACGAGTCATACACATCCTCCATTTCACAAAGGCTTCCACGGAACTGTCCACAGGAGGAAAGATAATACAATGATTTGCCTATATAAGCATGACAGATAGAAACACAATGTGCAGCTGGAGAGCGATAAGGGAAATTGATTTCTTTTTCCTATTCCTTTGCACTTTATTTCTCCTGCTCGGCAGCAGCAGTTCTGTTCATCAGTACATTTCCTCCTTCTCAAATATGGGAATTTTCCAATGGGCTTGAGCCTGCTGCAGGTGTGTATATATTGAATAATCTGCCTCTTTAAAATAGAACTGAATTTTCATTCAGATCTGCTCCGCGGTATATAAGTTACTGGAACATTTTCCTTTTTTCTTTATATTCTTCATCAAGCTGTAGGACTCAGAGCATTGTTCTGTCATACAACTGTCCTAATCAGCTGCAGATTTGGAGAGACAAGTGTCACCAAATCCATGGGGTTTCTTGCCAGCTCTTCTCGGTGTGCTAGACATGGTATTAAACACTTAACCACCCATAAGATTTCTGTGCAGCCTCTGCTTGTGTTTAGGCTGCAGATGAAGCAATGTCAACACAAGCATGATAAATTGGAGGTTTCTTCCCGGAGCAGTTGCACTCACACAAACAAACACTTCATTAGCAAGACGATAAACAAAACAAAATCCACAGCAGTCCCCACGAATGTGTCAGGAAATTGCTTCAGGGTGAGAAAACACCCTCTGCATCAACTTTAGGGTATCATGGGACGTGCTGCCAGGCTGGAAGCATCTCTTGGCGTGCTGCCCCTGTCAGAGGCAGCTGCAGAGGGGAAATTCTGCCCTTGCCCAAAGGGCAGGTCCTGCTGGCACGTTTCTGGCTCCTGCAGCTCCCCAGGATTTGGTTCTTGGCCTGTAAACCAATCCTATGGAATTACTCCAGATGGAGTAGCTGGAGTTGGTGAATTCTGCCACATCTGGGCTCACTCTGAGGACAGTGTCCCCCCTCCTTTTTAACTTCAAAGTTCAAAATTCTGCTACAGGGACTGATGTTTCCCTTAGGGAGAAGGGAAAATTTGGGTTCTCTTAGGTGCAAGAAATACAAGAGATTTAGAAAATCTCTAAAAGTTTCAGTGCTGTTTATATTTCTACAATCACTTTGGAGAGAAGGGCTTAGGAAATACACACAAACAAGTCCCATTAGGATATATGTTGTTTTCCTATGATTTTTCCTCTTTTAATTTTTAACTGTAATTTAAATGTTAACTATGTTAATAAAAATGTTAACAGTTTTTGCTATTGAGAACAGCAGGACAAGTTGTAACTATGGGATTCAGCTCTTTTCCCCACTTATGTATCTGTCCAGCTGCCTTGACTTGTTAAAAGGTAAGGCAAAGTAATTTTATTTTTTTTGCCAAAGTGGTCTAAGATGCATCTTGAATTTCTGGAATAGGTATTTTTACATTGTCTTTGTCTCAGACTGTGCAGATACTGATTTCAAAGCTTGCAAATGTAAAGAAAATTAAATGCAAGAGAAGAGAGAAAAAAACAGGACTGAAACTCATTCATACAGGAGAATTTGGAGCTGAAAGTGGGAGAAGGAAAAAAAATATTGAGCTTCAAGTATTTAAAAATACAAAATAAAAGAGGAAAAGCAAATTATATGTTAAATTCCATGAAATAAAATTAATACAGTATTGGTAGATTGTAAGTATATTTCCTTTAAGGAGATTTTGAAAGGATTGAGACTGGATTTTTTGATGTGACTTATTTTTCTCTCTGACTTATCAGATAACTGGTTCATATGCTAACTTTAGATAGTGTGATGCTTATATCCTCTAGAATCAAGGAAGCTTAGGCTATTTTCACTCATCCTTTTCACTTGCTGATTCAAAGTATTTCATTAGGAGAATTCAGTGGAACTAAAAAAAGGCACACTTCTTTCAAAAAACGTTTTTCTTCATAAGGACTTGAACAAATTTGCCACTGCTGACAACTTTAAATGTCTTATGTAAATATTTTTCTGAACCAATATAGCAAGATAGGAACACTGCCTTTTTTGGGAGCATAATCCATATACATTTGTGTTCTTCTGAAATATTTTGTGGGGATTTTTTTTTTTGTTGTTTTTTTTTTTCTTTTTTTTTGTACCACCTGCTGCACACTTGAGTGAAGCTGCCTTTAAATTGGTAAAGGCTTACAGGTGTGGGTTTTGGTCTTGCAGCTGTATCATTGTGACCTGTCTCTGTTTGCCTGCTTCTACCTAGTGAGTATTCTATTTCATTTTATGGTTTTTTTTTTTCCCAGTTTAGTTTTTGTTAGTGTTTTTTGATGTTCGTTTGGGGTTTTTGTTTCTTGATATTTTAATTCGTGGTACTTTGGTGGTTCTGAGCTTGTTGTTCCAGAGCATGCAAACATCAACTGAGTTTGTTATGGGGTGAAATAAGTAACTGCTTGAAGGGTAGCAGTGTTCTTATTGCATAAGAAGCCTGAATCTTTCCCTGTGAGTGAGACAACCTTTGTGGTTTTAGCATTAAAGGAGGCTGGTACTTAAAAATTATTTGTAGTATGGTTTCTTTAAACAAGGCATTGAAATAAAAGGCATGAATTCAGGAAAATGTATGTTGGACCTGTAAAACAATCCTTTAGACATACAGTTAAATTGTTTGTCTTGACAGGTAGGCTTCAGACATTTCACTATGTGGTTGCATATGCTTTCAAAGACTTCCTCTGAAATTTTAAGCTTCAGTTGCTTTGAAGGTGTGTTTTATACTATGCAGTCCTATATTCGTGATTCTGTCCCTTCAGTCTTTACTCAACTAGATATTTCTCTTTCCTTTTCCATTTCTTGTCTCTTTCTTTAATTCAGATTCACAGAAGTTCATGCTTCTTATTGCTGAAATCTCTTTTTCTCTTTTTCTCTTTTTCTCTTTTTGTCTTTTGTTTTGAGCTTATGTATGTAATCCTGTGTCATGGGGGGGACTCAACTAATGAGGAACCTGGAAATCTGAATCTGTAGTAACAAATGTTCTAAATTTCAGATAGATTTTCTTTCATTCATTTTTCCCTTTTAAAAAGGATCAAGCATGACTAGGGAATGATTTTTATTTTCTTTACTATAAAAAAATATTTGAGAGTGTTATGTGGGGTTCTTGCAGGTTAATAAATTAAATACCTGTAATGAATTGCAGAAAGAATAGGGGAGTGATCACATCGAAGTGTCTACAGTTGTAGCCCTGTACTGGAGAAGTTCAGTACTTTTTATCATTTAGCTTCTTGTTTATTATATCACTTGTATTAAATCTAATTGTTTTCAGGCATTTAATTAGTCATTGCACATGAGAAAAAAACAGTTCCTTAAATTTTATGTTTTAAAAATCACCAAGACTCATTGTCAGAGAACTAACTCTCTGATCTTTGGTGCCGTGACTGCCAGAATTTTGATTCTGTCACTGCTGTCTTTTTACATCACAAATAAAGAATTATAAAATAAGACATAAGACTTTAGAGAGAACTATCTATACCAGATGAACTAATTCCACAATGTTTTGTATTCCATGTGTGAATAATAGTTCAGCAACATTCTTTTTCAGCTTTTGCCAAGCTTTACCTTCTGTGTTTGCATTTGGTATGATGTTGGAAGTTCACACCATCACATTCTTTTTCCCACTCCCCTCCCAACAATATGGTAGGATTTTTACAGGGATTTATTTAGCACTTCACTGGGAATCTGACTCTTCTGTTTTAGCACTTACTTTTCTTACAGTTTTTGGTACTTATTATTGCCTGAATAAAGACGAGGTCTCTGGCATTTAACAACAGGAAACTATGCTTAAAATAACAGTGTTGTAACACACCAATAAATTCTGAAGAATTCATTTGAAAGGCTGAAATTATATTCTTAGTTTACGTGCTTTTGCTTTCCCTTGTTAAGAACAGTGGTAATGAAGTGTCCTTAAATTTGAATTGCCCAGCATCTGTTGGTTCGTAGCACAGCACAACCTTAGCATTATTTAAATGGGGTTTTTTTGTGCATCTGAATATTAAATGGTGCCCTGAAGATTCAATCCAGCAGTCAGGACTATGGTAGTTACGAGATTACAATTTCTCTGGGCTCATTTTGTGTTCATACATCTAACTAGTTCAGTAAACAAATAAACAGAAAAAATACAACAAAAAACCCCCAACAAACTAAAAAGGCAAACAAAAAACCCCCACAAAATCCAAAAGACACCTTCACCAATAAAACTCATGGAGAAGGGAATTCAGGTTATATTTGTGGAAATACTGTGGAGGTAGGGTTATCAGTCTCTTTCCTTCCTTTAAACTTTCAAGTTAAGTCTGCAGAGCAAGGATACTTTTAACTTCTCACGCTGCCCAGTGCTAGGTTTGCAAATCAGAGAGTTCATCTGTTCTTAAATTTGCTTTGGTTTTCCTCACTAAGTTAATAGCAAAAACATATGCATGTATATAATAAATGTATCAGCTGAGAGACCCTGAAAGCTGGAACCTGTTTCAATCCAAAAAAGAAGGTGGAATAATTTGAGAAGAACCCACCACATTCATCTCAGCCTGCAAATGGCACAACCTGCCTCTGTCAAGATTCTGTTGTCATGCACTGCCATGACTTTGTATGTATTTACACAGGCTTAAATTGAGATAAGTTCAGCAACTTTGTTTCAAATGCACAGATGGATTGCTAAAATTTGGATTAAAAATAGGGTTTTTGAGAATGTGAGGTTTACTTCATTTCTTAGGATTCACAGAGGTAATTATTGAGACCAGACAGCTTATGTAGGTACCTTTTTTATTTCAGAAGAACTGTTGTTTACAGCTAAATGAGCTGTTTTGATAAAAATCTGTGTAACACTGTGTAAAAACATGTTTTTATGCTTAGATTTCATATTTGTGCCATTAACCAAGTTTGAGGGTTTTCTTATTTTAAAAAGAGACTTAGAATTACCATTTAGGGAAAAAAATGCTGATACAATGTTGAAACTAGTAAATACTTTTTTACTGAAAGTATTGCTTCTTTTGAATGCAATGTCCCATATTGCTTCAGCTGTCTTCTTCTCAGGGCAGCTGCTAGTTTTTTCAAGGGGAAGAAAATGCCTTGCTGAGGGGAAAAAAAATAAGAGCAATCACATTCTTTCTTCACATTCTCTGCATTTATTCATGTCTCTTCCTCTTAATTTTTCATCTTTCTTACGTGGCCTGGAGCAGAATCTCATCTATTTACAATAATGGGAAAAAATATTGAAAAATAGTAGATCCTTTTCAGGGTCCATTAGCTAAGCAATATGATGCATGTTGATGAAAGGTGCTGACAGCCTCTCATAATTCAGGTCTGGAGAGTGATTCCATAGCCAGTGTTGGCTCCATTGCTCAAAGCTCACCCTCAGTGCTGCTGCTTAGGGAGGGCACATGAGGGATGCCATGCCTTGGCAGAGCTGACATTGGCACAAAGCCTGCAAGGAGCTGGATTCCACACCTGGTTCTGTTGTGCTGATTTCTTGTTGGCTTCAGGGCAGTGTCTTTGCAGGCAGAGAGCCTCAGGACCCCCAAAGTGCAACATTTTCTTGGAGTTCCTTTGAAATTCCTAAGAATCAAGGGCATGTGAGCAGATCATAGTAAATGGTAGAACTGCTTCAGGACAGCACCTGCAGGCTTTTGAATCATCACTGTGTGCTCTGGTTTGCAACAGGTACTGTTGGCTCTCCCAGCATTGCCTTGTTGGACTGAATTTCTTCACAATTATTTCCTTGGCTGCTTTAGGAACCTCTTTGTGAGACCATCAGAGTCCTGCTGGTTGTCAGTGGCATCCACAACTGAATCACTGCCTGTAAACATGAAAAATGTAAATGACATTTGAAACAAAATGAAAGAACTGAAAGTGAAACATATGTGCCTAGAATTATATAAGGGCAAACCAGTGAGGGCTGCTATGCCACACAAGTACCTACACTAAGCCAAATGGGAAAATTAGCTCTGGTTTCCAACATATTTTCATCCAGAGGAAAGAGAGAAAGACGCAAACAAACATGTTTTTCATCCTGCCTAGGTTGTTGCTTCCCAAGGTGTTATTCTATTATGTGAGAATGATGTGCATAGCATAGCTGTCAAAGCAGCCAACAACCACATCCAGGCAGTTGCTGAGCACCTGCAAATCCCACTGAAGTAGTGGAAGGTGCAGCTGCCAAGCTGTAGCTCAGCTCTTTGAAGGGATTGACTAGTGAATAATAACAAAAGCAATTAAGAGTCACAACTTCCTTGCAATGTCTATTTTAGGGAGATTGGTTGTATATTGTAGAAAGTCAAACTCCATTTCTCTACTGGAAATAAAGAGATTAATTAACTGTTGCACACCAGTGACTACTCCAGTTGTTATCCAAGGCCTGTGTAGAATTTTTTCTGCTCTATTTATTTTTATTTCATGGAACTTTTGGTGTTTTTGCCTCAATAGCAGTTTTGCCAAGTTTGAAGAACCTGACAGAAACTCTAATCAGTACCTTATTTAAATTGCTCAGAAGGATAGTGCATAACTTTTAAATAAAAAGCAGTATCACAAAGAGATTGCCATACCTCATACCTACAGAGGGCTTTCGCCAGTGTTGCACTCTCAAAATGTGAGTGCTAAATTAAGATCACAGCATCAGCAGGAGATTAGCAAGCAGTCATCAAACTGAGATAATGAATTTATGATTAAAGAAGTAAAAATCACCTTCCCTTAAGAAGGAGCAGCATGAAGGCCTTGAGGAGCCCAGTGAAGGTCAAGCTGTGTGTGGCTTCCAAAGGGGTCAGTAATGATCTCTGCCTCCATTTGCCTCAGTGCAGTGCAGACAGGTAGGGATTGGCAATATTTGCAGCCTGTGTGCAGTGAGCTGCTCTTTCTCCAAGACCAAGCAGAGAAAATGGCTCAGAAGGCTTCAAGTTCTACTTTGCTGGAAATATTTTGCTTAAAGAGGAAAAGGCTGCTTCATTCTTCACAAATTGCTTTACCTGGCTATGTTGACCACTTGCTAGATTGCATTCACTTCAAATCTAATTCATTTACACTTTGTTAAGTAAACCCCATGTAGTTATGTCCATTTTTGTCTTTTGGAAAGATGCAAGTGATGTTTTTGAAGAAAATGTAGATCGCTGTGCTTCTTGACAAACATTACATTTTTTAAGCCTCTCCTTGGGGCTTCTGCCTTTCATTCCCAGAAAAAGTCATGGTTGTGAAATACCTGTTTGAGATGCCCCTTTAAACTTCCCCTGTGGGAC